ATGTATGACCTCTGCATAAGACAATGGATATCAAAGTGATTTGGGGTGTTGGGGGTTTGTAACTCAGTGGGCCATAAACTATAGTTTTATACTTAAATGGTGGAGGTATATGTGACATCTGCCCAGCCACTGAGTTACAGAGAAACATAGAATCTACTTAGACCCAGCACAGACTACTACTAGAAATAATGATTTAGTTTTAATTGTAGCTTCTGTCCCTTCCCCCACCATTCCACCTAGATTACCGGGAAGAAAAAGCAGCTCAGGGGCCTGAGTACTTTCTCTGGGACAAGGACTGAGGAGTGCATTTGTGAAGATGGGAGTCTTTGGAAAGTAGATGGCAACCTTTTCTCCCTTTCAGCTGAGTTTCACTAGGACGCTCTTTCTGATAAAAAAAAAGCATGATCACATCCTAAGAGTTACACACAAGAAGAATTTGCCTGGCAGGAAAGATGGTTCAAATACATGGAAGAACAGTGAAAACCCAGCAAATGCTGTTAAGAAATGATTGTCTTCAAAACAGAAGAGTCTGTCTACATCTGCAGATGAATTTGTAGATCTATTCATCTTTGTGATATTCACACATATCATTTACATGGCCTTTCATCTTTATAAGACAGGAATGTAAAGAGTACATTAGAACTTAGAAGATGTAATTGTTATTTTTCTTATGTATCATTTCCAGACTGGTTATGCTAAAGATTCCAGATAGCTTTTTGAGGAAAGTGTTGAGTCAGCAAAACCTGAAAGAATCAAACTTAAGAATCTAAAAGGGAGTTATGTGTCTAAAGACAAATTTCAAGAACACAGGAAATAAAATAGAATGCACAAAATAAGAAAAAGGAAAATAAAGGCAGAACTGAATGCAATAAGTGGGACAGAGTTCATTTGGATTGAAAATGGAAAATGGTTCAAACATAGAAACTTAAAAAAAATACAGGCATATATGGATATGAAGAAAGGAGAATTTTGGAGGTAATAAGATCATCCTTAATAGTTTTGTTCAATAATCATGAGGGGAAAATTCTGTTAAAATTCATCCCATTTCAATGGGTGGGAATCTGAATACTGTCTGAGGCTGCTTTAATTTACACCAGCCTTCTTTGACATGGTCCTGGGGAAAGTAACTCTGGATGAACTTCCATCAAAGCGAAGCAATTATGAGCAGAATAGTTGAGGGGATTAGTGACTTGGTTTATTAGTTCTGCATGAGCTTAATGAGTGCATGTTCTTTGGTGGTGGTAGTCAGGTCAGTGGGCTTAGTTCCTGAGGAAAGGCTGCTGGAAGGCGCCGGAGCAGCAGGAGTCAGGCCTCCCACATTAGCCTACTGAAGCTTTAAATGTCAACCAGTGTGGTGTGCTGAAAGGAAAACGGATGATTCTAAAGTCTGAGGCTTTCCACAAAATCGTTCATGCCAAGAAGTAGTAATATATTATAAAATGTTTTTCATTCATTACAGATGAGATTGCTACAGAGTAATTTTAATAAAGTATTCAAAGTAACGTATATTTCAATAATATTCATATCCATTAAAGGAAACTCAGTTTCACCTAATCCCCCAAAAAATACCCTGAAAAGAACATACACTAATCCTCTTTTGAAGCCAATGCCTCCAATCAAACTACTGTCAATGTGGAATAAGTCCACAACAAAATCAAAAGCTTGCACCACATGTGAATACAATGTTCATAACTTTAAAGACTAAAGAACATTTTGAAATTCTATATTTTGCAAATATATAGGTAGTAATTGAGGTTATGGTAGATATAGAGGAAGTTTTCTGTAGCTAGTTTGAGGGTGTATGTGTGTGATATATGTACAGTACGTTAATAAATATATTTTTACTGTGTAATAACACATACATGGAAAAAGTTTCCTGTATGCATTTTGTTCTTTAATTTGTTAACCTTTATTTATGCATTTGTAGTATATGAAAGTAATAGGCGATGGAATATGTTGTCTAAACAACTTTACAGAGTTATTTCCTGCTGCATAGGTACCATTTGAGGAAGTATATCCTCCATCTTCACACGGCAGTTTTCACTAAGCACACATGTGTGGTGATGCTCAGTAAGCAGTTGTGATGGTGTTGCCCACCTCATTTTAGCTCCCTCTAGCAACAGTGGTTACTTACCAATCTAGAAACTCTCCTAAGATAGGCTGTTTCAAATCTTCATAGAAATGTCCCCCAAATCAATCATTAGAAATGCCAAAGAGCTGTCTGCTTTTCTGGACCTTCTTTGACACAGATACTGGAGCCAAAATGACACTGGCTGGAACTCCAGCCAGCTGTACTGCAGAAACTCATTATAAAAATGAAGAGTCATAAGCAGAAAGAATAGCAATTAAAGCATGCGTTTGTTTATTTCAAACTGCGGAAATCAAAGCCCACAGATAGCTAGCTGGGCATGAAAGAGCTCATCTAAAAACAACGAAATAATAATGAGGTTTGAGAGGTTCTGCTGACGTGCTCTCTTCAACTATGGAGTGCCATATTTTCACCCTGCTCCTTCCTCTGAGATCTGATAGTGACATCTGCGACAAGATAACTCTCCATGCTTGCCTTTAATTCAGGAGAGATGATTATCAACCATTTCCTGAAGGAAAAGTGCCTGGATATGTGGAAATTCAAATTCCTATCACTGTAATTTGTTATGGCAGAGGTACAAGGTGAAACAAAATGCACATAAACCATGTCCACATGGGCTTCCTCTGATCAAGAAGTTCTTTGAGTACACATGTACCACATTCTTGTTACCCATTCATTATCTAATGGACACCTAGTCTGCTCTAATTTTCTAGCTATTATGAATGAACATAAATGGATGTACAGGTATCTCTCTAATATGATACAAAGTTCTTTAGGTACATATCTAGAAGGGATATAGCTGGGTGATATGGTAATTTTATGAGAAACCGTTGGACTGATTTCTAAAGTGTACAAGCATTCATTCCCCTGGCCCTAAATTGATGACAATATATTTCTTCCTTTCCTTCTCCTTCTCCTTTTTCTTCTCTTTCTCTTCCTCCTCCTCCTTCTTTCTCACTAGCGTTCTTAATAAAAGTCATTCTGACTGTGGTGAGCAGGAATCTTAAAGTAGAATAGCGATTTGGATGGAAATGGCCCCTACAGGCTCATAGGCTTGAATACTAGGCTCCCAGTTGATGGAACTGTTTAGGAAGGATTAGGAGGTGTGTTCTTGTTGGAAAAGAGGTGTCATGGGGGACATGCTTTGAGGTTTCAAAGACTCTGTGCCATTCCCACTGTGCCTCTTTGCCTCCTGCTTGTAGTTTGGAGATGTGTGCATCAGTTGTTTCTGCTGCCACACCTTCACTCTGCTGTTACAGACTCTAACCCTCTGGAACCATCAGCCCAATTGAACACTCTGTTTTATAAGTTGCTCAGATCATGGTGTTTTACCACAGGAATAGTAATTAAGTAGTTTTGATCAGTATTTTCCTGATTGCTAAGAATGGTGAGCTGTTTTTAAAGTGTGTTTTTTTTTCCACTCATTTTTCATCTTTTGGGAACTCTTTGCTTAGTTCTATAGCCTATTTTCTATTTGTTTTTTTTCTTAGTGTTTAGTTTTTTCAGTTGTTTGTATATTGTAGCCACCAATCTTCTGTCAGATGTGTAAATGGCAACAAGTTTTCACCTATTCTGAGGGCGGTTTCTTCGCCTGATTGACAAGTCTCTTTGCTGTGTTTTGATTCTATGAGATTCCATTTGTCCATTATTGGGCTTATTTCCTGTGTTGCTAGAGTCCATTTTGGAAGTTTCTACACGTGTCTGCATGTAGAAGCACATTGCCTACTTTCCTATATGTTGCAGACTATCAGGTCTTATGCTGAGAGTCTTGATTCATTTAGAGTTGAGTTCTGTGCAATATCAGAGACAAGAATCTAGTTCAGTTTCCTGTGTGGTGATACCCTGATTTCCCAGCACCATTTTTTGAAGATGCTGCCCTTTCTCCAATGTATATTTGGAACACTTGTCAAAAATTAGGTGGTTGCAGTTGCATGAATTTATAGATGGGCCCTATATTCTATTCAATTGATCAACACGTCTGTTTTGTGCCAATACCATGCTGTTATTATTATAGCTGGGTAGCATAACTTGAAATCAAGTATGATTACATATATTTTTTCAAAATTTCTTTGGTTATGCTTGATCTTTTATATTTTTCTATTTTAATCCTTTTCTGAAGAATAATCATGTAATTTTGAGTGAGATTGCATTGAATCTATAGATTTGTTTGGTAGGAATTCTCATAATATTTATTTTTCTAATTTTTGAGCATGGAAGTCTTTCCATTTTCTGGTGCCTTCTTCAATTTCTTTTTTTTTTTTTTTTTTTTGGTTTTTCGAGACAGGGTTTCTCTGTGTAGCTTTGCGCCTTTCCTGGAACTCGCTTTGGAGACCAGGCTGGCCTCGAACTCACAGAGATCCGCCTGGTTCTGCCTCCCGAGTGCTGGGATTAAAGGCGTGCGCCACCACCGCCCGGCTCAATTTCTTACTTTAGTGCTTTAAAGCTTTTATTGTAGAGGGATTTTGTTTCCTTGGTTAGGTTTATTCCTAAGTATTTTACTTATTTTTAGTTACTGTTGTAAATGGGTTTATTTAGCTGTAAAGAAAAAATGAAATTCAGTTTTTCAAGTAAGAAGATGGAACTGGAAAAATTTATGCTGAGTGAGGCAATCCAGGACCAGAAAGATAAAACTACATGTCCCCTCTCAAACGTGGATCCTAGCTTCACGTCTGTAGCTCAGTGTACTTGGAGTACATGTAGAAGCCAGAAAATTAGAATGAAGCCTTTGTAGTTGGGGGATGCCTTAACAGAGTGGAGCAATAGAACATGAGAAAAAGGAAAACAAAGAAGGGTATACTGTGGGCATAAAGTATACACAGATCATGGAAGACTTACATGCCAAATTATTTTGCCTTTTCAAATGTCATTAAAATGCTTGTTCATTATATCATCTATGTGTTTCTGTTTGCAGATGGAGAAAAATATCATAAAACTTTCAGCCCTGGAGAGTCCAATGAACAGACACATGAGAAAGTGGTGACAAGGTGCCCGTGGGGACAAGTGACGAATTCTGCACCACTTTATCAAGAGCTGAGTATCTAAATACCTTCAAGCCATTGACTGTCACCTTCCGCTCTTCTCATCTCAGCCAGAGTTTTGAGAAGGAAGTGACCACTCTTCAATTCATTCTGCAGTCCCTCTGTAGGAAGTGCTGATGCTCAGATAACAGTCCAGGCACCTGACAGCACAATCTGAGTAAACAACAGCAGCCATGCACGTCTGACTCACTCCCCGAAGGTATTTATCAAGGGCCCATTTGGAGTGCTGAAGGGGGATGTGTGCTTTGGGGGTGAGGAGGAAGTACGCTATATTTCTATGAGTTTTATAACTAATTGTCACAAACCCGGTGGCTGAAAAGAACATACATTTGTTGTTTCTTTGTAGTTTGTGATGTTAGAAAGTTCAGTCCTACTGGCATGGCATGGCATCCGGTGTTCTGGAAAGCCTGCCGGGGGAAATCCACTTCCGGTTCCCAGCGGTCATGGGTGTGGTTCCTACCCTGCATCACTTCCATCTCCTCCTTCCTTTGACAGATCCACTTTGTAGAAGATGGTTCTTAATAATAATTGCAACATGTAAACTACATTCAGACAGTTTCTTATATATAAGACCTTTTTGTGTACAAATGTTGCTTATTTTCTTCTCACTGGACTCTACACTTGTGTACCATATTGCAATTTTACCAATAAAACAATTGGTACTGGCTGGGATACAGACCCTGACCAGAATCCCAATGTTCTTGGAAGAACTATGCCATCAGTGGCAGGTGAATAATTCAGATTAGTTTCTTCAGGTTTCACTGTGAACACTACATTGTGGAGATGAACCAGATATAGTCTAGTTACTATCACAGGATTGAATTCATGTAGTGAGCCACAAATCCCTGATGTTAGAATTTAAATGGCTCATTTGGTTACAAACACAACATATAGTCTTTTTCTGAATCCATGAAGATATTAATGTATTACCTTGAGCTTATTGCAACAAAGAAAAGAAATTCAAGGAAAGTATAAACAAAAATGTAGTATGCTGACAGAATGCTGGAGATCCTGAGGAATCCAAGGGAAACTTTGAACTGTAAACTAAGAAATGAGGAGCCCAACCTGGTTCTGTGTTACATTTTCTCCACACTCTTTCTTATTTATTCTTTCTATAGTGATCTCAGTCCATACTCTAGTCTCTACATTTTTCCCATTCAAATGGTGGCCCCGACTGAGAGTAGCATTCCACAGCAGCCCTTCCTGAAAGTGAGGTCCACTGCTGGACAGTTAACTATGCTTGGGGGATGCTTCTTCAGTGCCCATATGTGTTAGCAGAGGTGACAGTGAGGGTCTTAGAAATGTAGCTATCATAGTACAGGAAAATATTCCAAAAGCTGTTCAATACTGATATGCAGCAGGGTCCTTGCTGGTGTTCCCTTTGGGGGCCGGGGCCAAGTAGGCGCATAGTCAAACCACACAGACTCTGGGAGAATGTTGAAACAACAAGCTCAGTTTATTCAGGAAGAGGCAAGCTTTATATACCCTCCACCCCACCCTGGGGGGAGGTCTGATGAATACGCATCAGCTGGTGTGACATGGCTGCCTCTCATTGGTCCAGGTCATCTCCAGATCATGTTTCAGCTGCTGTTGCTAAGACCCTTAGGCAGACCCAGGCTGGCTCTCAGAAAGTATCTTTTTTACTTGTTTGAGCCGTCTGGCCCTCAAGCCTGTTAGGGATGAGTCATCTCACACTGATAGATTAATAAAACTTCTAGATGTTTCTGAGAAAATCCTTGTGTAGAACATTTTCATGTTTACTTCATTATCCTTGCCTCTTTCCTCCCTACACAAAGACAAGACCAATATATAAAGTTGGGTACAGAGGCTTATATTTGTAATTCCAGCACATGAGAGGCTGAGAGAAGGATTGGGGTTCAAGACCAGCTTGGGTTACATAGTGATAATGATGCCAGCCTCAGCTAGGTAATGAGATCTTGTCTCAAAACAAAGCAAATGAAAACAAGAGCTGATAAAGAAGATTCTTGTATCATCTGAGTCCCGTGTCCTAAATGTCTTCAGCGGTAGGTGCTTACCTTCAACCTCTGAGGGGCAACCATGGGGATTCATCAATAGTATATATTGTTTTGGGAGAGTCACTGACTTACCTGACCAACCACAGGCAAGGATGCTTCTTCTGCCTGGTAAGGGATTTTGTCCATGGTTCTCGTGGTGAACATTGTCAGTCAATATGGTATAACTTCCATATATATGTAGCGTGTGTGTATGAGCATGAATGTACATGTGTATGTGTGTGTGTGTGTGTGTGTGTGTGTGTGTGTGTGTGTGTGTGTGTGTGTGTATGTGTGTGTGTACATATATATTGCTTACAGTTTTGGGTAAATATCAAATAATATGATTACTTGAGGTCTTATCAAGCAAACGGTGTTATTTGCCTCTCCAAACTGAGGGCCTACCTCTTGCATTGTAGCTTCCATAGTGCTAGAAAATGCTATACACGCTGCCAAGAAAGGGAAACAAATAATAGTACTACCCAGATGCAACAACTGGGAGCCAAACAATGGTCAACATTGGCAAGACAGCCCAGCCATAAAGGTGTAATAAGTGGCACTCACATGTTGGTGGTAACTAACAGCTATCTAATTGGACTTAAGGTTCATTCAATGTGGTAGCCCACAGAGGCTTCCTAGTGAGACCTTACTCAGGGTCAGAGAATCTGAGCTTGCTTTACCCAGCAGGGCTGCATAATGGGAAGATTTGGCCTCAGACATGTTTACCAGGTGTTTGGAAGGGTCTACACTTGGCTGTATGGTGTGCTTTGATCTTGCAAGGGGGAGGTCTTTTGCCTCTTTCCCCTTGGTATTTTTATAAAAAGCCCTTTTGAATGAAGCTCTGGGCAGCTAGGTATTGATCCAGGGCCCTCCAGTAGCTATCCTGTGTCTCTTTCTTTCTTATCATCTCCTTCTATCTTTCTAACTAATATTTCCTCATTCCTCTCTCCTCCACCCAGGAACCCTTTGTCAGGTGGGAGCAGGTCAGAATTGGATTCCCAGAGACTCCCCCACATATGGTACCTGGATGTTGAACTTGGGTACAGAGGATAAAAGAGAAGGAACACTGCAGGTTAAGGGGGCATGCTCAGAATTAAGTAACTGGAGGCTGTGAAATTCTTTTCTTCAGGAGTAAAATTGTAAATACAAAGCAGAATACTTCAAATTAGGCTGCAGCAAGTCCTGGGGCAGAGTTCCTAGGGGAAGACTGCCATAAAATGCTGCTGTAACTGAGAATGAGGTTTCAGAGACGCTTGTTTGAACTGAGTTGTTGCATTCAGGGGAACTGCAATAAATAAAACTTTGGCTGTGGATTTCTTTGGAACTTTAAGAACAGTATCAGAAAGCATTCAGTGGAACATTAAGACTAGTATGAGAACTGCCTTTTTGAACTTTTCAGACTTAAGAAATGGGATGGACAGGAGTGGTTCAATTGCAATGGGACAGTTTTGATTTTACCTACACATGTAGACTCTATCTACTGAGTGACTTACAAACTGTTTTGTCTATGCATATATGCTTTATTAACTGTGGTGACTCATGGACTGTTTTGTGTAAAAAAATGGAACTGCTTTGTATAGAAATGGAAAATTTTTTTCTATGCAGACTCAAAAAATTATAAAGAAAATGGAGAGTTAATATTCCTAAGTCTCTTTAATTAAAAAAAAATAATTTCCTGTCCTTTGAGTAGATTAATGTTAATTTGTGTTAATGTACCCTATGTTTTGTTTGTAGAAAATATAAATAGTTTTATTAAGAAATTGCTTTTGTATGTTTGCTAAAGTTTATGAAATGTAAATAGTTCTATTAAGAGTTTGCTTTTGGATGTAAGTTGTGAGAATTGTAATCATGTATAGTAATATTTATGTTGTCAACCTGTTAATGTCAATGGTGATGCTAAGCAGTCTTTAGATGTGATGCAGTTGCATCAGGAGTTTACTGATTTATTTGATGCAGTTGCATCAGGAGTTTATTGATTTAAAAGAAGGGCTTGGTACAGCTAAGACTGCTGTAGTCATCTTAGACCCATTCAAAAAGGCCATTCCATCTTGATCATTCTCTACTCCTTTACTAGGAGGTATAGCAGCCATAAGGAGCAGGTGTATTGCTATGATTCTTCCAGCTATTTGCAAGCTCTTAGTGGAAAACTGATTCAGAACTGCATAGAGTTAAACTCTGGAATTTGACCTTTATATTATTAATAAGGGGGTGCTATGGTAGCCCACAGAGGCTTCCTAGTGAGACTTTACTCAGAGCCAGAGAATCTGAGTTTGCTTTACCCAGCAGGGTTGCATAATGAGATGATTTGGTCACAGTCATGATTTTACCAGGTGTTTAGAAGGGTTTACACTTGGCTATACAGTGTGCTTTGATCTTACAAAGGGGAGGTCTTTGCCTCTCCTCTTGGCATATTATAAAAAGCCCCTTTGAATAAAGCTTTGGGCTGTTGGGTATTGACCCAGGGCCCTCCTGAAGCTATCCTGTGTCTCTGTCTTTCTTATCATCTCCTTCTCCTTCTGTCTTTCTATCCAACATTTCCCCATTCCTCTCTCCTCCACCCAAGAACCCTTTGATAGGTGGAAGCAGGTCAGAGCTGGACTCTGGCAGACTCCCACAATTCAACAGGAAGGAAATCATGCCTGGTAGTAAAAATCTAGCCAAGTTCCCAAGGATAGTGAGGTCATGGACCCTAGAAAAGAACCAATTACTACCACTTTGCTAGACCAGCGTAATTCCTTACTACATTCTAAATCTTATTCTTTTTTTGTTTTTGTTTTTGTTTTATTTTTAGAGACAGGGTTTCTTCCTGTCAAAGTCCTGCCTGTCCTGGTACTTGCTTTGTAGGTCAGGCTTGCCTCGAACTTAGAGGTCCACCGGCCTCTGTCTCCTGAGTGCTGGGATTAAAGGTGTGCACTACTACCACCCAGCTCTAAATCTTATTCTTATACCCACAGAGAAGTAAAGCTACTGCTCCTCTCAAAGAAGCTTCTCTTCACAGCAAATAGAGACTACCACAGAAAGCCACAATGGCTCATGGGGAGCACAGTCCCAGTGCTACATTTCTAGTACAGTTCCTGCATCTATGCTCGGGGAACATTGCAGAAGAGTGGGTGGAAAGGCTGTAAGGGCCAGAATACCCAGAAGTCTGCTGTGAAACTCACAGAAATGGTTGCATAAACAAGCCTGGAATAATGGCAATATCATGGAAGGGGGAAATTTTACAGGTCCCAATCCTAGACAAAGAACTGTATGCAACTAATGACTGCTGGGAAAGGGAGAATAAGCCTCTCCCAGGGATAAGTCCCTTATTGGTTATCCAATACAAAGTATTCAGTCCATAGACTATATATATATATATATATATATATATATATATATATATATATATATATATATATATAT